AAAGTAAACAACTGATTTTTCAGAACTTCATTTGACCGAACAAGCTTGCAAGCTGTTTCAATATCTCGGAATATGCTTGGAAGCGACTGGGCTTTCATGATTTCAGAAGGTTTTAATACAAATCGGTTTTGGTAGGGTTTTATTGGGGCAATGTTTCGCCCTTGACAAAAGAGATTCTTCAGGCCAGGTGAATTGTTGCAAAATTGACTTAGCTTTTTATGAGAACGTAAGTTGAAGGTTGCAAGACATACTAGGTACCATTGGATAATAGCGTTACAGGTCAATAGGTCAAGTGGCTATTATAGTGAAACAACAAGTATCAAGCGTTTCTCATTGATCCACTTCACCGGTCCTTCACATGTGAGGCACTCCTTTCTTGCAGCTGTTGATTCACGCTCCGACCTGAGTTCCTCCGCCAACACCTTTTCTGATTGACCGGGTTAATGCAGCCCGCCACGCGTTCGATAACTCCACCCCGTCTGTTCTGTTCACACAGTTATTAGTCTTAGTAATCTCGATCGCCTCAGCAATCAACCCTATGACGGGTGGTTATCGAACGCCTGGCGGGCTGTGTTAAGCCGGTCAGTCAGAAAAGGTGTTGGCGGACGAACTCAGGTTGGAGCGTGAATCAACAGCTGCAAGAAAGGAATGCCTCACATGTGAAGGACCGGTGAAGTGGATCAATGAGAAACGCTTGATACTTGTTGTTTCACTATAATAGCCACTTGACCTATTGACCTGTAACGCTATTATCCAATGGTACATAGTATGTCTTGCAACCTTCAACTTACGATCCCACAAAACGCCAAGCCAATTTTGTAACGATTCACCTGGCCTGAAGAAGCTCTTTTGTCAAGGGCGAAACGTTGCCACAATAAAACCCTACCAAAACCGATTTGTATCCAAACCTTCTGAAATCACGAAATCTTGCGAGCTGTTTCCCAAGAAAGAGTTCATGCTTTCTGGGATAACCGTTTTTCTCTTGATTCATCATCTATAACTCCAGCTATCATGCAGTGAGTTTTCATGCCTTCTTCAAAATGTTTCGAAGGGATCTTGCAGTAACGATACTCTGGGATATCTTGGTGAATGCGTGCGCTAAAATCGTTTAAGCTTTCTCCGCGCTGCAGTCGTAACTTAAAAAAGTGAAAGCAAGCGGAAATCGCGCTCTGCTGAATTCGTCATAGCTCCTGAAGTAACTGAAGTACTCGTGAGATCCAAGATTTAATCATTAAGTTCAACGCAGCATAATGTCTTTGTCCTTCAGAAACAAGTGCCTGGCGGAACAACATAATCCAGTGGGTATCTGACATTAAGATGGAAAAAATTCATCTGATGTCGGAACGAAGATTTCTATTGTATCCATGTTTGTAAGGAAGAGCTTTCTGACGCCTCCGGTCAGCGAAATGAGAGAACTGCAAGTGGATTCCCATTGCTCGTCGCCATTTCGTACAGTACCGATCGTGTATTCCTACTCCGTGTATGGACCCATAGTCCGTTTGGATGTAGGAAAAATACAAACACCGGATTGTAGATGTGGATCTGTACTCTGCTCCTAACCGGAGCCAAGTGAAAACATGTAGGACCAAAACGAATCTATGAGAAACAGAGACCAATCAACGAATGCACTATAGTCATGTGATTTGGTGCGTGTAGTTATTAGATGTGGCATGACGCATCGGTTGTGGATGTCCGTAACACGTTGGCTTGCGGGTGGCTTGGTGAACTGCGTCGCCTCTGGATGCCCTAATTGTCCAACATCGCCTTAAATGCTTTCGATCGAAGCAGGGCCCTTGGTCGGTGATAATACATTGCAGTATTCTGTACCTTGCTGGCACATTGAATTCGGATGCCTGAGACACGGTCTCGCCTGTCTGATTCTTGATTGGTATGCCTTCCAGTGAGGGAATTGGTCGATCATCTTTTGCAAATATCAGTTTCCTGAGCGACCAGCTGGTAAAGACCCAAAGAAATGCAGTCCACAAAACTGAAGTGACTCATTAATTTCCATCGATCGTCTCGGTGGTCTCCCTGTATCCAGTTTACGTCTCCTTTGGTAGTTTGTACATCCCCTGATGTATGCCGCGACGTCCTCCCACATGATAGGCCAAAACAGTCTTCTTCGTAGCCATTCGAAGAGCCTTTTAAATCCTATATGGGCGCTATTATGAGTTATTCGCATCACCCGCTTTTGCAGATCCTTTGGAACAAAAAATCGCTCCCTTTCGTCTGCCGCAACTACCACATTATTCTTTTCGTCCTCTAGACTGTCTCAGATCCTACTGAGTTCCTCCACCTCTCCTGATGTGACTTCCGGCTTGATGTCAGCCTGTTAGTGAGAACACATCGCTTTCACGAGTTCATCTGTCCTCTGATCTGCCAGCAGGTTCCTATCTTCCACTGTAACTGCCCGCACTGGGACGGCACTATCCCGCATAAGATCGTCCAACGAGGGGTGTGACGACATATCGGGCATGTTCTGCGTTCCGTCTACGTGTTCAGTGGTGAAGTTAAGTTCTTGAAGTCGGTATACCCACCGCATAAGGCGCCTTAGTGTGTCTTCCACTGTCATCAACCATGAAAGTGGCTTGTGGTCAGTGACCATCAGGCATTCAGTCGCTAGTAGGTAAGCTTTCCACTTATCCCAGGCCCACACAATGGCCAGACAACATTTGCACGTCGTGGGATACTTCTTCTCTGCCACCGTCAGTAAGCTACTCACATATTCCACCACTGCAGCTGCTTGGCACAATACCGCGCCGATTGCCACAGTATTGGACAGCCGTGGGCATGTTGATACTTCGGCTATGCATAACTTCAGCTGGTTAAAGGCCTGATCCATTTCCGCAGCCCATTCAAACGAGTTGTATTTGTGAAGCAGGTTTAACAATGGGATGATCCGCTCTGCAAAATAGGGCACAAATTACGAGTCGTAAGTTACCATTTCGAGGAACGAACGGAGCTGACGCTTGGATTTGAGCATCGCAAAGCTATAGATCGTCTCGCGTTTCTCCGGAAGCGGATGAACTTGACCATTACCCACAATGTGGCCCAGACATACAATCGAGTTTCGAGCAATCTGCGACTTAATGCTGCTGAGTTTCAGGCCATCCACCTCTAGCCTTCGTGGTACTTCTACAAGTCTGGTAACATGCTCGTGCTCGGTCTGGGAGAAGACGGTGATATCATAACCATAGACAACCAGACATTGTGTGTTCTCCAGAACCAGCAGCACTAGGCGTCTGAATGCAGCTGTGGCGATGCACAATCCAAACGGCACTCTCACCAACTCGTACTGCTGGCCATTCACGATGAAAGGCATCTTGTGGTGATCATCCTCTGCGATGGGCAACCGCAAATATCCCCCGTTTATTTATATACACCTCTCGGGATCTTAGACACTGCGCGGCATGGAGCACATCTGCGCACTTTATCCTCCTCAGTCTAACGGGTAAGCGGAACAACATGTAGATACCTACAAGAGTGCTCTGCACAAAGCTGAAACAGAAGGACCAATTCAAAAGTTCCTTCAGAATTTTCTGCTATCTAGGCTTACCCCGAATTCACCGACACTTGACGGAAAATCTTCAACAGAATTACTCCTGCTTAGAAAGCCTCCAACGCAATTTAACCTGTTAAGGCGGGTGACAAACAAATGTGATAATACAATGTCAACACAGCCAAAGACACTACGCTATATCACAGCACTTCGATAATAAACAGAGGGTGTTGACAAGACTCTCGAAGAGACGAAGTCTTGTAGCCACCTCGAATGTTAACAGAATAATATGGCCATATCTACTACGAAGTGGCTGTAGGCGATGACACATGGTCCCGACATGCAAACCAGTTGAACAATGAACAATGACCTATCACCGGTGTGCTTGACAAGTCCCGTAGGATGGTTGGAGTACAAATTAAGACGGAAAGGATCAAGGAATAAGTAAATTGTCTTATTTTAATCGTCTACCCATTTAAATGTACTGCTGCATAACGATAGTTTGAAAGGGTAATGGGATGTGCACACGCAAAATAGTATAAAGAACCGTTATACTTAGTAAATTCGTGAGAAAGAAAAAAGGAAACGACAACGCGCACTCGTGTGTTGCTTCGTTTGACAAATGGAGTATATTAAACCAGTTTAAGCACATCCAGGCTACTCACATGGACACTTCTGCATGTATCCGCACCTCCATGTTGCGGAGATGGCCGTTAAGCACATGCTTAGGTTTGCGTTATTTCGTCCTCCAAGTGTGGCCAGCGACGGACCGGCCAGAAACGATTAGGCCCGATGGGTTTCCCTTTGATATTTTGGTGGAGAACTCAAAATTGTTGTAGGACGCTACATGCAGCGATGGTAAACTGTAACATGATATCGGGACAAAGAGCACTGAAATCTTGCTGACATCACTCCAAGCAAACAATCATGACGTGGACAAAACACCATGGTCAAGACTGCAGGTCAAAATTAAGCTCTCGTTTTACGGTGAATCAGATATCTTCAGTGAGTGGAAGTTTCGTAGAACACCAAACAACATGACAGGGCACACGTTTTCCTGCGATATGCTGAGTGTTAAATTTAAATTTGGTGGAATAGGTTCACCACCGACAGCCCTTACCATGTTACTTGCAACGCTTTTCTGACTTACGACTTATTTCGCCGAACTGTTCCTTCACTGATTTAAGGAAGATTTCATAAAGTACAATCCTCAGTCTACCGTTACACACTTATATAGTCAAAGGTAGTTGCATCGTGATTACCTCGACTTTCCCTTATCCCATAATCCTTTGTTCACCGCGCAACTTGTCAGTGATCGTTGTCTTCATATGGCATTTCTGAGAAAGACTTTTGCACCACGCTGACTGCCGATTTCTCTTGTAGCAAAAGAAATGCAGTTTCCGTTTGTGTCAACTAATAAACCTCACCGGTTACCTGCTTCCCGGCGGTAAGATTGGCAAATGCTGCAATTTACGCCTAATGACAGAGTTGCTGCATCTCTATGTCCCCCAGGTGTGTAAGGTATTCTCGTGGAATAGATAAGCGTCGATCGGCACTTCGCTTAGTGTTGGTTGGGTGTTTCCGACTTATGCATTGTGGGGTCTAGTTGGAACATAGCCGAATAATTTCGATAACTTGAATAGCTGTTCCTAAATGCACCGCAATTGTCAATACTCCTGTGTCGAATTCGAAGACAATCGCAACAACATTACAACCTTAATTTCATTACACCAATCAGCCAGGAAGTTTGAGCGTTAAAACAGAGGTCCGCAAATGTCCAACTGAATGCGTGTCTTCGGCAAGTGGATGATTGGTTCGACGCCATTTGACCTTGACAAGCGACACTTGCGCACCGCCCACCAAACCTGCTAGTTGGGGCCGAGCTTTCGTGCGCCATTGTTACCACCCAACACCGGTGAGTCACTTCTCTGTTGGCCTCATGTTCATTCATGAAATTTGTCGTATATAGTATATGGCCATAGCAGTACACCTACAACAGGCACTCCTCGCAGTTATTATATTTATGTTAACCGTTGCGAAAAGCTGCTTTCACGTTCCCTAACCATTGAGAAATATGTACAAGTACATCTGGATCCATACCAGATGAGACCATCTTGTTGCATGTTCGCATCATTATTTAGTACTCTGTGGTGTTCGTACGATTCCACTAGTTATTCTAGAGACCGACAAATCTTGCCTAAACGCAGCTATTTCTGATAAGTTGGTTACCACAACTGATAATCTTGGTGTCTAATTCAACAGCCGATTTGAGAAGGGTACATTTCACTCTTTTTGAGTCAGCGCAAGAGATTTCCACCCAGGCACTAAACGTCTATATGCCAGCTGACTACTACTTTGCTGCATCTATGCGCTGTTTACCAACGAGCCGAACATTATACCCTATTATGACGACGCCAAAATTGACCTTTTGGCTCTACAGTTCTCTTCTATACACTGGCGAACCACCATGTACTTGCACATAAAGTACCTCAGGAGCTACTACTTGGACTGAACTCGGGTTCCTCACCAGGCCCAGATGGGATACACCCCTGTTTCTCAAGATGGTAGCAGAATTCTTTGCCGCCACACTTTGTCATATTTTCAGCTCTCTCTTAAAGCTGGTCGACTACCTCGACTGGAAGACGGGCAAAGTTATGTCGAAATACAAGCGCGGAAACCACCAGGATCCTGCTAACTATCGACCGAATTGTCTGACGTCGGTCGTCTGCATGGTCATGGGAAAGCTCATTAAATGCGCCATCCACCGACACTGCGAAGATCTAAACAGCACCACGTCTACTCAGCATGGCTTCCAAAAGGGACGTTCCCTCAACAATAGCCTGCTGGTCGCAAGAGAAAAGTGGGCAATGTCAGTTGACGTTGGAAAACGCTTGGATGTGGTCTTCATCGACTTCAGCAAAACTTTTGACAGAGTTCCGCATGGGGAACTACTCTCTAAACTCTGCCGAATTGGCATAACAGTGAACATCCCACTATGGATCACTGACTTCTTGCGGCGCCGGAATATACAAGTCAATGTAAACGAAACCCCCTCATTCCCAGTGCTTATGTCTAGTGGTTTTTCACAAGCCTCCGTCCACGGGCCGGAACTGTTCGAGATCTACATCAAGGATGTACCAAGTTGGCTACAAATGGAATGTCTGATCTATGCGGACGATCTTAAGCTATATTCTAAAGTGTCCAACCTCGAAGGCGCCGACCATTTGCGGAAAACGCTTGATCTACTACACGCTTGTTCTATCAAGTAGGATTTGTCGGTCAACAATGATTTGTGCTCTGTCTTTCTTATCGGTACTATGGAACTACTGGGCATTTATTACATTGGCGAGTACTTGCTCAAGAGTTCTACTCAGGAGAAGGACCTAGGGACAGTAGTATTCTCTGATCACACAACTAATCGCGAAACATTAAAAAACGGCAACGGCGAACATGATGTGGTATGTCATAAGATCATTCTCTAGAATGACACCGAGGATGTTCAGACTTGTCTTCACCCCCCATATCTGCCTAATCCTTGAATTCGGACTTACAGGCATAGCCCCACTATGGAAGCATGAAAGTGACAGGATTGGAAAACTTCAGCGACGTGCCTCGGAATTTTTCTTTTGCCTACGCGAACTCCCTTGTCCCGCAAGACTAGAGATGATGAACCTTTTCCCCTTAGACTATCGCTGATTTCGAGGTGACCTCATCCACACTAGGCGCATCCTACGAGGATAATTAAGCAACGAGCTGAGGCGGTTTTTTTCAGATAAGACTAAGCAGTTCGACTCGAGGTCACAGCTTGAAGCCGTTTAAGCTGAGGGACTTCACTCCGTTCAGATGTTGCTCTCTCTCTCTACCCGAGTACTTAATAACTGAAACCGGCTGCCGGGCCTGATTGTTGACGCGCATTAAGAAGCGACCTTCAAGCGTTTGTTGGACACCCATTTACTGAGTAGTCTAGGCTCTTGTAAGCTTTGTACTACCTCATCTTGAGCGATGCCACAACAACCGCACCTGCAATCCTTAGAAGACCGGGAAGGGAAGGAGCCGATACTGGACCTCTCTTCTGCTCTTTAAGATTCAACGAACTCAACAGTCATCGAAGTGATAGGGTTGATGACTGTGGCTTCGCGCAACGCCAATAAGCCCTTCTAGCCCGCTACGATTCCGCTATATGTGGAGTGGTTTTTCAATGTTCTAACTGCCTATGTGAACATTTCTTGCCTTCTGAGATACGTCAGATTAAGCACTTTATTGTTAGTGACAATCAGCAAGGAATCGCAATACGGTAGTGCCATAGATCGGCAAACGTTTCATGGGTTTAGCAGCTCAAGTGTTTCCTGTTACACAAGACCGGGAGAAATCCGATCTCAACTACACCCACGATACAGATTGTATATTAAACATATACCCGGACTTCCGAAACTTCACTACGCGTGCATATTCACACCCTACTTCTCAACTCGCCTCCTGTTTCTCAAAATGATCCAAATCCAAACAGTATCAGAAGTTAATAGGAGTGCAGTTGTGCACACAGACCAGCCCCCTAACCTTGCCGTTGGCAGGGGGAAGCAGTGATAACTGTGAATAAAGAGGCGAACGGAAAGATGTCTTAGTGGATCCCTATCATGTGTAAAATGAAAACATTCTCCGATTCGCACTTCTTTCCAGGTATCCTTCTGGCTTGTAATCACACGATTTGGATGGGTCCCGAATAGAGTTTTCAAGGTATCCTAGCCTATACGACAATGTGCAGGGGAAGTAGACAAGATTTACGGTTTTTTTTGAAGACAGCTAATGTGGGGGTTGAGGCAGTCCAAATAGGAAGAGGGTTCTACGGTTTGAAGACTCAAACGAAGAAGTAACACCGTCGGAATTCTATACAGTTGTAATGTTTCTTTTCTTTTTTATTGGCGACCTCTTATGTTTCCGTTGTAACTGTGCTTCTTCTGGTAGTGACTTTCTCCACTGGGGTCATTCTCTATCTGACACAAGACGTCGGATTCCGCTCAACAATCCTAAGTGCTCATTAATTCCGCAACTTACTTTCAGTACCTTCTGGTAGGGACGATGACACGGTACCCTTTGCCAACCCCTTTTGCACTTCTGCCGAACTGGTCAGGATTGGTTAGCATAACTAATGCGATGGCGCACTTGAGCATTGAACAATGTGAGATGGATAAGTCCACCAGTATTTCTGAGCACTGAATACCTAACCGAGAAGCTGTTTACCTTATTGTATAACCGAGTCAGAACGCCGCGAACAGCCGCAGCTACCAGCAGAATATCTGCTGGCATTCACCAAGCCTGAAAATACTTTGCACCAGTGGGGTGTCTGGGAAACTAGCCACGTTTTCATGTGCATGAAAGTTAATTCAGGACCGTCCAATCTGAAACCTTGTTTACATCATGCTGGGGTGCTTCATCGTCGTCTGATCCTAAAATAGACTGAGATTACAAATTGATAGGTATCCATTCAAGGTATAACATTGATGTAAACCGAGAATGATTAATGCAGCGCCACCGAACCTTGTGTTATGCAAAATTCAACTTAATTTGAGTCGCAATGGGATCACCAGTCTCACGTCCAGGTTTGTATCATGCAGAACACCATCCGTCCAGTTGCGTGATGCCCTGCATGATACACATTTTGCATAGAGTTCTCCTATTCACTGAGCTTAAATGGACCTAAGTTATCCATTTGGCACTCGTGCAGCAAAAGTTGCTCCAGCTCAGTTATTTCTATAATTTTTGCTTAATTGTTTAAGTTAAACTTCCTTAATCCGCTTTAAGGTCGATAAACTGCGTGCACATCGACTGCAAGTGCAAAATGGCCATGTGCTGGCACCTTGCATCGTGAATTTGCCATGCTATACTCAGTATACGAGCAGCGGCTCAATTAGATCATTGCAACGAGCTTTCCAATATCGACGCCGATTCAAGAGGACGTTGGCACGCAGGTGTTGCACTTACTCGATTGAGTACTCAAAGGAATCTCCACTGTCATCAGCCAACACAAGGGATGTGTCGTTTATACACTTATTTGTAACTCCGGGCTGGCCAGTCATGCATTTGTTAGTAAATTCCTACATGTAATAAAATAAAGACTGGTGTGCTAACCCATTATGCGAATGGTAGCTAATGGCTCTCCATCCTTCAACTGTCATTCACAATTTACTTTTGTGCTTCGAATTTAGGAGTTGAAAACTCGAATAACGTATTGTGATGACCGATAAAACTCATCGTCACTGTTATTTCAGGCTAATTCACCGACACGACTAACTAGAGAAAAGGTCTAATCGATTGCATGGTCACAGAAGAAAATATAATTGGTAGCATGTATAGACAGTTGAGTTATCTTATTGTGTACACATCTTCGAAATGTATCAATGACTGGACGTTTCAGGTACACTGAGTTCTGGCCAGCAACCGCGGAATGATTCCTCTGAACAAACGCACTGCTTCATAATTAGGTTTAACCAATGATACCGAAGAGGATACGTTGTAGGTAATGCAACCGTCCTCCTGTTTAATTTAACAGATCTACATTGAGTTTCTGGGCTTCAAAGAAAGATTTGATTTTTCTACGCCGCTGAGTCTATCAGTAGGTCGGAATATCATCACCATCACTGGCGCCAAACGTTATCCGTTACGAGTGCGGAACTATTACGACGCTGTCTTTCTATAACGACATATACAGTGCACTTACCAACTACCTGGACCGTTGAATTCACCGCTATCATTCAGCCGGTTGCTTTTTCTCCTTTGAAGTGACACAGTGAGAAAACTCACACAGTATCTTACTACACCATATTAAACTTTTGTAGTGTAAAATTGGTTTGACTTGGAAGCAAATACGCGAAGCCCAACTTACGCACTTTGTGGTGAGAGTGATCGCAGAAGTAGTCG